GTTTGAGACCAGCCTGGTCTACAAGGGCTAGTTCCGGGACAGCCTCCAAAGCCACAGAGAAACCCTGTCTCAAAACAAAACAAAACAAAACAAAACAAAACAAAACAAAAAATCACTGTAAGGTTTAATATTATAATCGTTGGGCCAATGGCTCAGGTATATTACTAACTAGATCTTACATTTAAATTAACCCATTTTTATTAATCTATGTATTGCAACTTGGCCATGGCTTACCAGTAATGCTCTGGCATCTTATTCCTCTGGCAAGTACATGGCATCTCCTTGACTCTGCCTTCTTTCTCTCTGTATCTCTGTTTGGATTTCTTGCCTAGCTATATTCTGCCTGGCTATTGGCCAAATCAGCTTCTTTACTAACCGATGGTAATAAAACATATTCACAGCATGCAGGGGGCATCCCCATCACATGGCCTCATACTCAGGCATAGGCCAAGCCTTTCTTTGAGGGGTCTCTAAGGCCCATAAGGCCAAGCCCCGTCTTCTCCTCAGATGTTCCCAGACTGAGCACACCTACCAGCACCCATAGGCCCAGTGTGTCCCAAACCCTGAAGAGTGTCTAGACCTCTCAGGCTCCCCTGGGTATCTCTTCTCCTGCCTCTGTCTCCCCCATGGGCAACACGAGGTCAATGAGGCCTCTGCTCACTGTTAACAGATGCATCCAAGCACACAGGAAGCCAGCTTGGCCTACAGAGAGAGTTCAAAGACAGCCAGGACTACATGGAGAAACCCTGTCTCAATAAACAAACAAACAAAACCCCGACAACAACAATAAAGAGATGCATCCATGTGATGATATTTTGTTTGTGATCTAACAAATAAAGCTTGTCTGAAGATCAGAGTGTGGAATTAAACCCCTAGTTAGACATAGAGGACAGGCAGTGGTGGCTCACACCTTTATTCCCAGCACTTGGGAGTCACATGCCTTTAATCCCAGCACTAAGGAGATGGAGGCAGGAAGGGATATGGCTGGGCAGAGAGAGGAATATAAGACGGGAGGAGACAGGAGCTCAGTGCATTCAGTCTGAGGATTCCTAGAGACAGGATTGCCCCTGTGGTCTGAGAATTCAGGAGAGATAAGAACTAGTGGCTGGCTGCTCTGCTGCTCTGATCTTTCAGCATTAACACCCTATATCTGACTTCAGGTTTTTATGAAAAACCAATTCATGCTACACATCCATTCATGAGGAGGGGAGCTGGCAGGAGCAGCCCAGCTTGTCCCTTGTACCCAGGAGGGTAGTTGAGGGTGGGAAGACACCAGCCTGGAAATTATGTTTGTTAAAGAATTTTGAAGGCCAGCTATTGTGATACAGACCTTTAATTCCAGCACTCAGGAGGCAAAGACAGGCACATCTCTGTGAGTTTGAGGACAGCCTGGTCTACATAGTGAGTTTCAGGCCAGCAAAGGCTATATAGTGAGACTGTCTCAAAAAAATTTAAAGGAATAATTTTCAGCTTTCTCAAGATCAAATGATGCTTTCAGAGAAGCAATGTTACTGTGTGGCACTGGTGTGATGTTAAGTCAATGTGGGTTTACAGAAAGTGGCACAAACACCCATCAGCACCCACTAAGAGCCAAGTGCTATCCCTTG